TGTTCAACACGACCCCCAATGTCATAGTTCAGCACAATTATCACTGAGGTACACAGACCAGAATAATGTTCAACACGACCCCCTATGTCCTAGTTCAGCACAATTACCACTGAGGTACACAGACCAGAATAATGTTCAACACGACCCCCTATGTCATAGTTCAGCACAATTATCATTGAGGTACTCAGACCAGAATAATGTTCAACACGACCCCCTATGTCGTAGTTCAGCACAATTATCACTGAGGTACACAGACCAGAATAATGTTCAACACGATCCCCTATGTCGTAGTTCAGCACAATTATCACTGAGGTACACAGACCAGAATAATGTTCAACACGACCCCCAATGTCGTAGTTCAGCACAATTATCACTGAGGTACACAGACCAAAATAATGTTCAACACGACCCCCTATGTCATAGTTCAGCACAATTATCACTGAGGTACACAGACCAGAATAATGTTCAACACGACCCCCAATGTCGTAGTTCAGCACAATTATCACTGAGGTACACAGACCAAAATAATGTTCAACACGACAACCCTATGTCATAGTTCAGCACAATTATCACTGAGGTACACAGACCAGAATAATGTTCAACACGATCCCCTATGTCGTAGTTCAGCACAATTATCACTGAGGTACACAGACCAGAATAATGTTCAACACGACCCCCAATGTCGTAGTTCAGCACAATTATCACTGAGGTACACAGACCAAACAATGTTCAACACGATCCCCTATGTCATAGTTCAGCTCAATTATCACTGAGGTACACAGACCAGAATAATGTTCAACACGACCCCCTATGTCATAGTTCAGCACAATTATCACTGAGGTACACAGACCAGAATAATGTTCAACACGACCCCAATGTCGTAGTTCAGCACAATTATCACTGAGGTACACAGACCAAAATAATGTTCAACACGACCCCCTATGTCCTAGTTCAGCTCAATTATCACTGAGGTACTCTGACCAGAATAATGTTCAACACGACCCCAAATGTCATAGTTCAGCAAAATTATCACTGAGGTACACAGACCAGAATAATCTTCAACACGACCCCAAATGTCATAGTTCAGCACAATTATCACTGAGGTACACAGACCAGAATAATGTTCAACACGACCCCCAAGTCATAGTTCAGCACAATTATCACTGAGGTACACAGACCAGAATAATGTTCAACACGACCCCCTATGTCATAGTTCAGCACAATTATCACTGAGGTACACAGATCAAAATAATGTTCAACACGATTCCCTATGTCATAGTTCAGCACAATTATCATTGAGGCACACAGACGAAAATAATGTTCAAGACGACCCCCAATGTCATAGTTCAGCACAATTATCACTGAGGTACACAGACCAGAATAATGTTCAACACGACCCCCAATGTCGTAGTTCAGCAAAATTATCATTGAGGTACACAGACCAGAATAATGTTCAACACGACCCCCAATGTCGTAGTTCAGCACAATTATCACTGAGGTACACAGACCAGAATAATGTTCAACACGACCCCCTATGTCATAGTTCAGCACAATTATCACTGAGGTACACAGACCAGAATAATGCTCAACACGACCCCAATGTCATAGTTCAGCACAATTATCATTGAGGTACACAGACCAGAATAATGTTCAACACGACCCCCTATGTCATAGTTCAGCTCAATTATCACTGAGGTACACAGACCAGAATAATGTTCAACACGACCCCCAATGTCGTAGTTCAGCACAATTATCACTGAGGTACACAGACCAGAATAATGTTCAACACGACCCCCAATGTCGTAGTTCAGCACAATTATCACTGAGGTACACAGACCAGAATAATGTTCAACACGACCCCCTATGTCATAGTTCAGCACAATTATCACTGAGGTACACAGATCAAAATAATGTTCAACACGACCCCCTATGTCATAGTTCAGCACAATTATCATTGAGGCACACAGACGAAAATAATGTTCAACACGACCCCCAATGTCATAGTTCAGCACAATTATCACTGAGGTACACAGACCAGAATAATGTTCAACACGACCCCAATGTCGTAGTTCAGCACAATTATCATTGAGGTACACAGACCAGAATAATGTTCAACACGACCCCAATGTCGTAGTTCAGCACAATTATCACTGATGTACACAGACCAGAATAATGTTCAACACGACCCCTATGTCATAGTTCAGCACAATTATCACTGAGGTACACAGACCAGAATAATGCTCAACACGACCCCCAATGTCGTAGTTCAGCACAATTATCATTGAGGTACACAGACCAGAATAATGTTCAACACGACCCCCTATGTCATAGTTCAGCTCAATTATCACTGAGGTACACAGACCAGAATAATGTTCAACACGACCCCCAATGTCGTAGTTTAGCACAATTATCACTGAGGTACACAGACCAGAATAATGTTCAACACGACCCCCAATGTCGTAGTTCAGCACAATTATCACTGAGGTACACAGACCAAAATAATGTTCAACACGACAACCCTATGTCATAGTTCAGCACAATTATCACTGAGGTACACAGACCAGAATAATGTTCAACACGACCCCCAATGTCGTAGTTCAGCACAATTATCATTGAGGTACACAGACCAAAATAATGTTCAACACGATCCCCTATGTCATAGTTCAGCTCAATTATCACTGAGGTACACAGACCAGAATAATGTTCAACACGACCCCCTATGTCATAGTTCAGCACAATTATCACTGAGGTACACAGACCAGAATAATGTTCAACACGACCCCCAATGTCGTAGTTCAGCACAATTATCACTGAGGTACACAGACCAGAATAATGTTCAACACGACCCCCTATGTCATAGTTCAGCTCAATTATCACTGAGGTACACAGACCAGAATAATGTTCAACACGACCCCCAATGTCGTAGTTCAGCACAATTATCACTGAGGTACACAGACCAGGATAATGTTCAACACGACCCCCAATGTCGTAGTTCAGCACAATTATCACTGAGGTACACAGACCAGAATAATGTTCAACACGACCCCCAATGTCATAGTTCAGCACAATTATCACTGAGGTACACAGACCAGAATAATGCTCAACACGACCCCCAATGTCGTAGTTCAGCACAATTATCATTGAGGTACACAGACCAGAATAATGTTCAACACGACCCCCTATGTCATAGTTCAGCTCAATTATCACTGAGGTACACAGACCAGAATAATGTTCAACACGACCCCCAATGTCGTAGTTCAGCACAATTATCACTGAGGTACACAGACCAGAATAATGTTCAACACGACCCCCAATGTCGTAGTTCAGCACAATTATCACTGAGGTACACAGACCAGAATAATGTTCAACACGACCCCCTATGTCATAGTTCAGCACAATTATCACTGAGGTACACAGATCAAAATAATGTTCAACACGACCCCCTATGTCATAGTTCAGCACAATTATCATTGAGGCACACAGACGAAAATAATGTTCAACACGACCCCCAATGTCATAGTTCAGCACAATTATCACTGAGGTACACAGACCAGAATAATGTTCAACACGACCCCCAATGTCGTAGTTCAGCACAATTATCATTGAGGTACACAGACCAGAATAATGTTCAACACGACCCCCAATGTCGTAGTTCAGCACAATTATCACTGAGGTACACAGACCAGAATAATGTTCAACACGACCCCCTATGTCATAGTTCAGCACAATTATCACTGAGGTACACAGACCAGAATAATGCTCAACACGACCCCCAATGTCGTAGTTCAGCACAATTATCATTGAGGTACACAGACCAGAATAATGTTCAACACGACCCCTATGTGTCATAGTTCAGCTCAATTATCACTGAGGTACACAGACCAGAATAATGTTCAACACGACCCCCAATGTCGTAGTTCAGCACAATTATCATTGAGGTACACAGACCAGAATAATGTTCAACACGACCCCCAATGTCGTAGTTCAGCACAATTATCACTGAGGTACACAGACCAGAATAATGTTCAACACGACCCCCTATGTCATAGTTCAGCACAATTATCACTGAGGTACACAGACCAGAATAATGTTCAACACGACCCCCTATGTCATAGTTCAGCACAATTATCACTGAGGTACACAGACCAGAATAATGCTCAACACGACCCCCAATGTCGTAGTTCAGCACAATTATCATTGAGGTACACAGACCAGAATAATGTTCAACACGACCCCCTATGTCATAGTTCAGCTCAATTATCACTGAGGTACACAGACCAGAATAATGTTCAACACGACCCCCTATGTCGTAGTTCAGCACAATTATCACTGAGGTACACAGACCAGAATAATGTTCAACACGACCCCCTATGTCATAGTTCAGCACAATTATCACTGAGGTACACAGACCAAAATAATGTTCAACACGACCCCCTATGTCGTAGTTCAGCACAATTATCACTGAGGTACACAGACCAGAATAATGTTCAACACGACCCCCTATGAAACTACATCACTGTTAAGTATCACGAGCCCCACGGCGGACGTTGACAATGTATTTCTCAAACTAATACATCGAAATGTAAAGAGAAAAAAAGAAAGAAAAAATATGTTTTTTTTCGTGTTAGCCCGGTAGGTTGCAAAGCTGTATATTTAGTTAGTGTTGAGGGCTTGCTCAACTTTTCAAAATCATGTGTAAGTCCGGGCTTCTTTTCATAATGGTAGCTACGCCCCTGCTTTGGAGGGCATTTAGAAGTGGAATGCATAAGAAAAGCAAGATTTATGGATGTCTCTATTATGAATAACACGACGGAGTGTATGGTAGCTCCTTCATCATGAAGGACCCCGTGACGAGCGAATGCTTTAACCACTAGGTTGCCCCATCGCTCCGTTTGTCATGTGAAGTTGGATTTAACCACAACAACACACAACAAATGACATATGGTGAGGTGAAAGTGAAAGTATTTTTATAGGGTGGCTTGTACCATTCGTACGATAAAGTTGCCTCCCTTGATCAATCAATATCAGAAGCAGGTCATCACAACTTCACATGTCAGTCATTTTCAAGCCAAGTCCATAGGAATCCGCTTGTTGCTTACCTCCATGTTGATTTAAGCTGATAATGTTCAACACTGCCTACGTCCTAGTTTCACCACAAACACATACACCTGTTATTTCATCGTCAATACCCTGATGGAGCTCGAGGCTCCTAAATCATCGTCGGCGACCCGTGACTTCAATCTACTGTCACCTTTAAATATATGCACCGCCATGTGCGATTCAAATCGAGGTATTGGACTCGGCGAGGGATTTCCATGGCCCAGTTTAAAGTAAGTACGTCTGTGAGGTATGGCGGATACTTGTCCTGTAAAGACCAGAACTTCAAACCAGCCACGCATGCTCCAGTTCACCACAACATGACCCAGTATTATTCTAAATCGTTGTAAGTTGACCCTTTACTGAAAAATGGCAGCGGCCATATGTTACACCTAGCGTCCACTTCATAAAAACGCCATCAGTGGAACAGTTTGAGAGTTATTTTACGATGCTTCACATTCTTTGTAATGTCTTACTAAGAATTTCAACATCGTAAATTATAGAAGCTGGTGCCGTTGCAGATAGCGGTCTCAGTGCTGGGGACCCGTGGAGATCAGGGTTAGAATTGATCTTCATTCGTGATCCCCGTGTCCTCTCCTACCCTTTATTCGCTATCGTCACATTGTTAATCTTGTATACATTCTATGCTCTGTGTATCCCTGGCTTCCACCGGCCTCCATGTTTATCCCTGTCATCCCCTGTTATCCCTTTATTTGTTATCATCACATTGTTATTCTGCCTTGCCTTGTTAATTAGTCTTATTGTATCACCTGTTCTCTCCCTGTACCGTTCATACTTGAAAACGATACAAGAACCTGTATCGAAACGTTGTGCTCTAGAATAAAAGGAGTTGTCATCCATGTGTATTTGTTCTATCTGATTTTCAGTTATAGATGCTTGTCGTACGAGGCGACTAACGGGACAGGGTGGTCAGGCTTGCTGACTTGGTTGACACATGTCATCGGTTCCCAATTGCGTAGATCGATGCTCATGCTATTGATCACTGGGTTGTCTGGTCCAGACGCGGTTATTTACAGACCGCCGCCATATAGCTGGAATATTGCTGAGTGCGGCGTAAATCTAAACTCACTCACTCACTCAGTGCTGAGGTGATCGTAACTACCTTAACACAGACATGAATCAGTCGTAGAGCTAAAGTAGTTTTGTGATGCAGCACTTTAGACATCACGAGACTGCTATTGTTATGTAATATGTTATCCGCAGGACATTTTGCACGGATTGCACGTGCAGCACACAATTCTAAAACATTCGGGGCAGCGTAAAGTTGTGGCTCAGTTGGAACGCCCATATTTTTCATGGTACCTATATTCTACCATTAACCAAATTAACTTATCCAAACCTCAATTCAATGTACTATATGGATAAACCGAACATCAAAGAAATTGATTCAATATATCCAAACGCATGCGATGTGATGACACAACAGTACGACGGGATGAAAGCACAGAGTAATGCAATACGATGTGATGACACAACAGTACGACGGGATGATAGTACAGAGTAATGCCATACGATGTGATGACTCAACAGTACGATGGGATGACAGCACAGAGTAATGCCATACGATGTGATGACACAACAGTACGATGGGATGACAGCACAGAGTAATGCCATACGATGTGATGACACAACAGTACGACGGGATGAAAGCACAGAGTAATGCAATACGATGTGATGACACAACAGTACGACGGGATGACAGCACAGAGTAATGCCATACGATGTGATGACACAACAGTACGACGGGATGATAGTACAGAGTAATGCAATACGATGTGATGACACAACAGTACGATGGGATGACAGCACAGAGTAATGCCATACGATGTGATGACACAACAGTACGACGGGATGAAAGCACAGAGTAATGCAATACGATGTGATGACACAACAGTACGACGGATGATAGTACAGAGTAATGCCATACGATGTGATGACACAACAGTACGATGGGATGACAGCACACAGTAATGCAATACGATGTGATGACACAACAGTACGACGGATGACAGCACAGAGTAATGCAATACGATGTGATGACACAACAGTACGACGGATGACAGCACAGAGTAATGTCATACGATGTGATGACACAATAGTACGACGGGATGACAGCACAGAGTAATGCAATACGATGCACAACAGTATACGGATGATGAGCACAGAGTAATGCAATACGATGATGACACAACAGTACGACGGATGACAGCACAGAGTAATGCAATACGATGATGACACAACAGTACGACGGGATGACAGTACAGAGTAATGCAATACGATGTGATGACACAACAGTACGATGGGATGACAGTACAGAGTAATGCAATACGATGTGATGACACAACAGTACGACGGAATGAAAGTACAGAGTAATGCAATATGATGTGATGACACAACAGTACGACGGGATGACAGCACAGAGTAATGCAATACGATGTGATGACACAACAGTACGACGTTATGACAGCACAGAATAATGCAATACGATGTGATGACACAACAGTACGACGGGATGAAAGCACAGAGTAATGCAATACGATGTGATGACACAACAGTACGACGGGATGACAGCACAGAGTAATGCAATACGATGTGATGACACAACAGTACGACGGGATGACAGCACAGAGTAATGCCATACGATGTGATGACACAACAGTACGACGGGATGATAGTACAGAGTAATGCAATACGATGTGATGACACAACAGTACGATGGGATGACAGCACAGAGTAATGCCATACGATGTGATGACACAACAGTACGACGGGATGAAAGCACAGAGTAATGCAATACGATGTGATGACACAACAGTACGACGGGATGATAGTACAGAGTAATGCCATACGATGTGATGACACAACAGTACGAAGGGATGACAGCACACAGTAATGCAATACGATGTGATGACACAACAGTACGACGGGATGACAGCACAGAGTAATGCAATACGATGTGATGACACAACAGTACGACGGGATGACAGCACAGAGTAATGTCATACGATGTGATGACACAATAGTACGACGGGATGACAGCACAGAGTAATGCAATACGATGTGATGACACAACAGTACTACGGGATGACAGCACAGAGTAATGCAATACGATGTGATGACACAACAGTACGACGGGATGACAGTACAGAGTAATGCAATACGATGTGATGACACAACAGTACGATGGGATGACAGTACAGAGTAATGCAATACGATGTGATGACACAACAGTACGACGGAATGAAAGTACAGAGTAATGCAATATGATGTGATGACACAACAGTACGACGGGATGACAGCACAGAGTAATGCAATACGATGTGATGACACAACAGTACGACGTTATGACAGCACAGAATAATGCAATACGATGTGATGACACAACAGTACGACGGGATGACAGCACAGAGTAATGTCATACGATATGATGACACAACAGTACGACGTTATGACAGCACAGAGTAATGCAATATGATGTGATGAAAAAACACATTCGTCGCCACTCGCCTCTTTCCGTAACATATACATAGATGTACATTCACCTGGCTTCCTATCGTTGTATAAGTTCTAATTCAGTCCTTGTATATCACCCTTCTGGCTTCCTATAAACTTACTCAATCTCCAATACACTCGTTGTACATCAACCTCATTTATTGTAAAAACAACTCATTCCCTATCTACTGTAATAACAACTCATGTATATATTCTCTCAATTTGTTACTCATGTATCACTTGCTTGACAACGACGTTTGAATCTATGTCGAAACGTCGCCTCCACAGAATAAAAGAAGTTGTATATCCATAATAATTGTCATTATTCTTCAACTACATGTATGGTTCAAAATGTACGATAACTACACGTTTGGTACTTCATACAAGTGGCGATTGCATATATACACGTTGCCACTTTATGTCAAGGACGGTCGTGCTTTGCATTATCATTCGTATTCATGAATAATCATCAAAAAGGCAAGTGCATGGTTGCTGACGTGTCAGTCCGCTCCCTTTAGGTATCCAGATACCTATCAACATAATAGGAGTTAAAGTACAGTCGACACATTCAGGTGTACAAATAGTACAAATACTGACTATTCCAGAAGCGGGAAACGGTGAAACTGCGGTGTTTTCAAGTGTGTATGTAAAACCTCACTCAAAGTGGATAAGACACAGGAATGGGTGACAAAGGCCTCGAATTACACCTTTTATGCAGAAGCAGCCAGCCTCTCAGAAACTACTCAAAGTATGAAACCTTCTGGAAAACTACATCACATTTCAGCATGCATCCATAGCCAGTATAGGGTCTCATTGTAAACCCCTTTCTGGAATACTGTGTGACATTTCAGCATGCATCCATAGCCAGTATAGGGTCTCATTGTAAACCCCTTTCTGGAATACTATATGACATTTCAGCATGCATCCATAGCCAGCATAGAGTCTCATTGTAAACCCCTTTCTGGAATACTATATGACATTTCAGCATGCATCCATAGCCAGTATAGGGTCTCATTGTAAACCCCTTTCTGGAATACTTTATGACATTTCAGCATGCATCCATAGCCAGTATAGAGTCTCATTGTAAACCCCTTTCTGGAATACTATATGACATTACAGCATGCATCCATAGCCAGTATAGGGTCCTATTGTAAACCCCTTTCTGAAACACTACAGGACATTTGAGACATGCGTGCATAGCCGGGGTAGTATTATTGCAAACACCTTTCTGAACCACTACTTAATATTTAAACATATATACTGAAACTAACCACATATCCTATTCCATTTGCACAATAGAATAGTAACAGTCCTATGTTATTATCACACTTATCATTTATTTGAGAAAATGACTCTATAAATGGCTGTTTCATGTCTGTCATAAACTGTTCATTTCCTGCGTAAGTAAAACGTCGATGTGTGCTTGAGATTCATGCTTTAGATGACAATTTGCTGACTTTGTGTTGCTCTGTTTCAGGGGAGATTATGAATACTACACAGACCTTACACAGCGTATTTCTGCCCCAAGTGAGTTCATTCTAAAGCTGTATAACGCCAAGAGCCGTAATAGGGAAATTATGCGAGGTCAGAAAGGAAGTGCACAATACCAAGGGATGAGCATGTGACACATTTAAGCTCAGTCACAACACGTGCAGTGAAAGGGCAAACACCTGATATATGAAGGATCAGTATTTATATATACACGTGTAACGTAAGTTAGAAAGTTTACCCTTCTGCAAACTATGCCAGGAGCGGGATATTTTATCCAAATTATTCATACTCAATACATACAAAAATGAAGATATATTCGGTTTCGTGTGTCTGAAAATTGAATATAGAGAAAGTGAGTGAGTGAGTTTAGTTTTACACCGCTTTTAGCCATATTCCAGCAATATCACGGCGGGGGACACCAGAAATGGGCTTCACACATTGTGCCCATGTGGGGAATCGAACCCGGGTCTTCAGCGTGACGAGCGAACGCTTTAACCACTAGGCTACCCCACCGCTCCAATATAGAGAAAGAACTAGTGACTCAGTTGCATATGTAAATAATGACTGCCGGGCTTTTACATATGAATGGCCTGAACACGTATATGTTTGCCATATACATAAGGTATTAAAGTAACACTTCTGGCAGGATACCAAGTCCAAGATGAATAATGTGTATATGGTCGAACGGCGTTATCTCGAACTCCTGGGGACCTAATGCAGAGTAGGACTTACATGGGATTCGTCACATCCGAACCGAACTATCGTCTGTTGTGCCATAAGACATCATACGGTATTGTGCACGCTCTGTAAATATTGTATGGCTGTAATCAGAAACATTATCAAAAGCATGTCATATCTACATGAGGCAGATTCCAGTACTACTCATTCTTACTTAGTTCGATTTATCATTGTAACTTTATCTTTGGACAATAGACTTATAGCAAGGACCGACGAATTAGACTACATGGAATTCTACACAAGAGTGGTAAAAATAGTAGGTTTGTCGTAGTCGGGGATTTGTCACTTTCCGGCTCCAGACAACGTCCTTCATTGTAATATTGCTTGGGTATTAAGTGACCTTTATATTGGTCATCTTGTTGGTTATGTCCTTGTCTATCAATCTGAGAATTTATCCCAGCTTCGCGGTTTCTATGTTGTTTACGTCATTGCCTTTTAAACAAGTACACATGATTATGTGAATAGAACTTGGTTCTGATGTCTTATATGCTGACAATAATACGAATATGGCGGCCGTGGCTTAATAATAGCTGTGGCAATCACGAAATATAACGAGAAAGGAATAGACATCACAAGTAAATCCAAAACCTATGTGAATCATACTTCATTCCTGAGCGATATATTGCAGGATACTGTCGCAAAACGATGACCGTTCTGTCGTTCATATCGACTAAGAAATAGGTTAGGCGATTATTTTGACGGGCTATCTGTCAAGAGTGAGTGAGTGACTTTAGGTTTACGCCTCTTCTAGCAATATTTCAGCAATATCAGGGCGGGTCAACAGTTAGAATGTTTCATGCTGTACTATGTACAACTTTTTTTCATCAACTATTATCTAGCACCTACACTATTTATTTATTTATATTGATGCAGAAGGTTCGTTACTCTTTAACCCGCAGATAAGAAGGTGGTGCAAATCAAGGGACGAAGAACATGGATGTTGACAAGAGAGAAGGAGAAGGATGCAGCGTCTGTCATCAACGTCATCATCAGCTCCACTCTAAGGTGTCTCCTTCGTCAAATATACATGTATTGGCATATTGGTTTGTCTTCAGTGTCTGCATGAAGAAATCACATCATCTGAAATGCTAGTCTTCTTATTTTATATATGTGTATTGTAGTTGGATTGACCAACATTCCTGCATTTTTTTCTTTTTCTGTAGGGAGGATTCGCATAGGAGTCTTCACAAGGTTGTGTCGTCATTTGATGAAGCGGTAGATTATGCCCTCTCCGGCCCCCGTCGGGATGAGATCGAGGCAGTCTGGGTGATGGGAGGGACCAGAGTATATGAGGTTGGAATACTGAGACATGTCAGATCAATGAAAAAATAGTGCTTAAAATGTTAAACATATATAGTATCCCCTGACATATAACTGGCAACGGTCCACTGTCATATACTAGTACTTGACATAATCATTGCTGACAATAATCCGCTGTCATCCAGTTTACACATTGCTGACAACAGACAACTGTGTGAGTTTCTTTTCACATCGTGTAATGCCAATCGTTCAAAATATAGCATGGCAGTAAGTCTATAATTCATGTGTGCATATTTCAACTGTTCTTTTGCAGAATGCCATTAACCACCCCTTGTGTAAGAGGCTATACTTGACGAGAGTCTTTGGCAACTTTGACGCAGATGTCTTTTTTCCCGAGTTTGAGACCAAGTTCCAGAAAATCAGGTAATTTATCTTCAAAGGAAGATTTTAAAGGCAATGTACTTCAAGGTATACTTACGAGACAGATAAACCTGGGGATTCTTTCACGAAGCAACCTTTATTAAGGTTAACCTCCCATTCTTTAACATTGCACTAAGATTACTTTAGTGACTTACGATCACCTTAGTGCTTTGTGAAAGGAGGCGCTGGCCCTTAGCATGTACATGGTGTCAATTATTGTTCCAGTGACCTGAATGTCGATGGTGAACCAAGGGAGGACAATGGTGTCAGATACCAGTTCGAAGTGTATGAGCGTCTGTGAGATATCGTATAGTACCACTTGCAGATGTAGACCCAGGATTGGAAGCAGCTTCCCTGATGGTGGATCCACGTACAAGAGCCAACATGACTGAATGCAAAGCCGTGCCGATTCGCAGGTGTATGTGTGAATCTCCAGGATTTATGGCAAGAATTACGCATATTACTGACATTATACATACCTATTGAAATAGAGGTCGACTTGATAACATTGATTTCACGTTACTGCCTGAGTGTGTACTGCTTGTTTTGATACAACTGTTGTCATTAAATGTTTCTCAATGGTGTTATATTAATTGTAAACAGTTGATTGTGGGGATCTCCAAATACCTGTATAGGTTCAATGTGTAATTATATCCAAACTGTATATTTTACCTGAATTAAATACATATTAACACGAAGTTCCTTGGTCTTACTGTTTCACTGTATGTCATCCAATGTTTCTCAATGGTGTTATATTAATTGTAAACAGTTGATTGTGGGGATCTCCAAATACCTGTATAGGTTCAATGTGTAATTATATCCAAACTGTATATTTTACCTGAATTAAATACATATTAACATGAAGTTCCTAGGTCTTACTGTTTCACTGTCTGTCATCCAATGTTTCTCAATGGTGTTATATTAATTGTAAACAGTTGATTGTGGGCATCTCCAAATACCTGTATAGGTTCAATGTGTAATTATATCCAAACTGTATATTTTACCTGAATTAAATGCATATTAAGATGAAGTTCCTTGGTCTTACTGTTTCACTGTCAGGACTTATGCTGTTTTCAGTCGGAGTGGACCAAACCATTGCCCTCAAAATAACCAGCGAGTAGCTCGTACAAGGACCGAGGAGTTACTGAGCGGATGGTTATTCAGTGTGATGTAGCTGATGCTGTGTTATCGTGTCTGAACGGCGTGGATTGTCTTTTTTTAAGGGTTTTTTTATTTTATTTTCATTAAAAAATAAAGTCTTCCATCATAACATTCGTTACATAATGACACATACAAATACATGAATATAATCATCTAACATATCAGGCTGTGACACAGTTAAACCTCCGATATATAATGGTGTATAGGGTGTTGTGTGTAGTGCCACATCCATAGATCATGTTTTATCAACGTGTGCAGCATGCTGTATTCAGTGTTGTATATGGCCTCATATCAGACATAGCATGTTGTATATAGGTCACAACCAACATATGTTGTATATTGCGCAACTTCCAAAATAAGTTGTATATAATGTCATATCTGATAACGGCGTGGATTGTTGGTCACGACGTCAGTAACAGACTTTCTCAAACTGAAATATACTCAACAACTAACAGTTAAGGACCATCCCAATATTAAAGTTTTATATGGATCATAATATGAACTATTAAATACTATTATTGAAAATCGGGGATGTCCTTAACTTTTTTGTTGTATATATTTACTGCGCTCCAAGGTGGAGTGATTATATTGTCGACATGGGTGTACACCCACACACTATTGTCGACATGGGTGTACACTCACACACTATTTAAGGTGAACATTCGCATTGTTTTAGTGCCGTAATCCGCTATCTCTGCTGAGACTGTATTGACATATTACGCATGACCAAAAATAGACCAATTGGAACTATTTCTGTTTCAACGTAACACGAACCTTCATTAACACTTCACAATATTCGTACAGACTCATGGCAATTAGAATACAACTTATGGCCCGTGGTGTCAAGAACGTTTGTACGGAAATGAAAGGAAAGCTTGCCTGCCCAACCCCAGTGAAGGTTGTTGTTATGACTACTCCAGAATATCTCGTTGTCAAATTGGCACCTAAGCTGATTCAGTCTGTCCACTGCTGCTTGTTTTGATTGTAATAGAAAATAGGCTTTTGCTAAAACATTAACACTTGGTTACAGTGACACGCATTAAAATGGCTTTTATTGATTCTTGATCTTTTATTTATTTTGTCAAACCTTTTTCAACTGGTCTGTAGCGCCAGCTGTGCTGCTATAATGGATGCAGGTGTCAAATATGAGTTACGTACCTACACGTGCTGCAATCTATAATATGTATTCTTTTTAAAGTTTTATGTTTCAGACAAATATGAGACACGCTCACATTTCATTCAAACCTAGATTAAAGTTGCCTGGTCACTACGTTACATCAACAGAGTTTACTTTTGTTCAACCGGTGTATTGACAACACCTCCACATTTTAAGTTCCCAGCTCCGCGAAAGGACCGTGGTGACATGTGGTTCGAGAAGGACGTATAAAGACGATCAATTTCATGACAATAGCGAAATCGACATTCAGTGTCTTGCATCGCAGTTTTCATATGAAAATAATATTCCACCTTATAGCATACTCTTATTACATTTTTATAAAATAATTTTACCGCCGACGCATTATATAACGATCTATCGAACCAAGAGTATAGTCTCGTTTTGTTGTGACTGTTGAAGCAGAGCATGGTGTGTTTTCACGACACATGGTGCGGTAGATCAGGACATCTCTTGGTACATTGGAGACAAGAACATGGTAAGTACGTGTATCTGGAAGACAAATGAACACAGTTACAGCATAGGTAACGCTTGTAGATCAATGTCCGAGTGAGACATTATCAGAAAACATTACTGGATGTTATCTGTCTGAGCTGGCTGTCTCATTTGCCCGACGTTGACAAATTAATATATTGGACGAATACAAAACTTGATTATTAAAGGCAAACGTGTTTCATCAGTCAGTCTATATATTATTTTGTTATTCACCGTCATGCTTTTCTCGATCAATAACACGTTTTCTGAATATGTTGCAATTTTCAGAATGATAACATTACATGTGATGACACGTGGCCATTACTACCTCGTCACGCTGTGTTGTGGGCAGCCACTGTGTATGTTGCATGTACTTTACATCGGTCAAAAAAGCCTTTCACTGACATGCAAAAACCCCCAGAGAATATGTGTTTTTTTAGTTTCTTGGACAGTGCCTCGTTACGTTCTTCAGCAAAATATAGTATCTGTAGTAGACATGCGCTGAAAGGAAGTACTGTACATCGATATCAGGCTAATATTCAGTGGACATTTTGATTAATATACTTGGCGATGAAACACGAAATGTTACTGAACGTACATAATCGATATGTCACTCATGGAAAACTGTTGTTTGAGAGAAATAACAGAAGTGCTTTCTGTCTCAATTACGCAATGTCTTTTAGGAATACAATCAGTAAAAAGTCTTATTGAATGGAATGTTGTTTCATGTCAAAGAACATGGCTTTCAAGCAAATGACCTGATAAACTGTATCACTCATTAAATATAGAATTTGTCCTGTATGTTGTCCTAGCATCTCACAGGCATACACATGTGTGAGATGACGAAGAGCATGATCAATAGCATCTTACAGCAGTCGACAACCTATGGCTCTTGCTATATTTCTTTTGTATCAATACTGCTTGATAGAGTATGCTTGAAATTGTAACAAGGCTCTGTACAGCTGACACAGCCCGCCATGCAATATCATGGTAGTGACAGATTTGGCTACTGGCTGCTACTCCACCCCTTATTATGATACATGCAATAGACCTTTCATGAATTAAGAAGATCCAGGTACGCGTGAGCGATTCATAATAATATCAAACCTTTTTTTAAAAAAAATTACAAATGAGTGATGTTTTCGTCTAAATGAAAGCTTATTCGCCTTCTGTTTCAGCTACGTCTGCGATTACGGAAGAAGCACTTCGTCTTCGGCGTTTTATCATTCATGGTACTTCGTCGAATGATGACCTGTAAGACCATGTTCCTGTAATGATGATGCTGAGTGTTCTATAATGTGTCAGATGCTTGGTGTGTTTTGGTGATGTGTCAGATGGTGAATGTATTTAGGTGATTTGTCTGATGATGAATAGATTATGGTGATGTGTCAGATGATGAATGTATTATGGTGATTTGTCTGATGATGAAAGCATTATTGTGATGTGTCAGATAATGAATATATTATGTTGATGTGTCAGATGATGAATGTATTATGGTGATGTGTCAGATGATGAATGTATTATGGTGATTTGTGTGATGATGAATGCATTATGGTGATGTGTCAGATAATGAATATATTATGATGATGTGTCAGATGATGCATGTATTATGGTAATGTGTTTGATGATGAATGTATTATGGTGATGTGTCAGATGATGGATGCATTACTGTAATGTGTCAGGTAATGAATATATTATGATGATATGTCATATGATGAATGTAGTATGGTGATGTGTCAGATAATGAATATATTATGGTGATGTGTCAGATGATGAATGTATTATGGTGATTTGTTTGATGATGAATGCATTATGGTGATGTGTCAGATAATGAATGTATTATGGTAATGTGTCAGATGGTGAATGTATTTAGGTGATTTGTCTGATGATGAATAGATTATGGTGATGTGTCAGATGATGAATGTATTATGGTGATTTGTCTGATGATGAATGCGTTATTGTGATGTGTCAGATAATGAATATATTATGTTGATGTGTCAGATGATGAATGTATTATGGTGATGTGTCAGATGATGAATGTATTATGGTGATTTGTCTGATGATGAATGCGTTATTGTGATGTGTCAGATAATGAATATATTATGTTGATGTGTCAGATGATGAATGTATTATGGTGATGTGTCAGATGATGAATGTATTATGGTGATTTGTCTGATGATGAATGCATTATGGTGATGTGTCAGATAATGAATATATTATGATGATGTGTCAGATGATGCATGTATTATGGTAATGTGTCTGATGATGAATGTAGTATGGTGATGTGTCAGATGATGGATGCATTATTGTAATGTGTCAGGTAATGAATATATTATGTTGATATGTCATATGATGAATGCATTATGGTAATGTGTCAGATAATGTATATATTATGGTGATGTGTCAGATGATGAATGTATTATGGTGATTTGTTTGATGATGAATGCATTATGGTGATGTGTCAGATAATGAATGTATTATGGTAATGTGTCAGATGATGAATGTATTATGGTGATTTGTCTGATGATGAATGCATTATTGTGATGTGTCAGATAATGAATATATTATGTTGATGTGTCAGATGATGAATGTATTATGGTGATGTGTCAGATGATGAATGTATTATGGTGATTTGTCTGATGATGAATGCATTATGGTGATGTGTCAGATAATGAATATATTATGATGATGTGTCAGATGATGAATGTATTATGGTAATGTGTCTGACGATGAATGTATTATGGTGATGTGTCAGATGATGAATGTAGTATGGTGATGTGTCAGATGATGGATGCATTATGGTAATGTGTCAGATGATGAATATATAATGATGATATGTCATATGATGAATGTATTATGGTGATTTGTCTGCTGATGAATGCATTATGGTGATGGGTCAGATAATGAATATTATGATGATGATGTGTCAGATGATGGATGTATTATGGTAATGTGTCAGATGATGAATGTAGTATGGTGTTGTGTGAGATGATTAATGTACTATGGTGATGTGTCTGATAATGAATGTATTTTGGTGTTGTGACAGAGATGATGAATGTATTTTGGTGATGTGTCTGATGATGAATGTACTATGGTGATGTGTCAGGTGGTGAATGTATTTTGGTGATGCGTCAGATTTTCAATGTATTTTGGTGTTGTGTCAGATGATGAATGTATTTTAGTGTTGTGTCTGATGATGAATGTACTTTAATGATGTGTCA